GACTTGTGTAGCTCTCCTTCCCCTGAGTCTCACTTGAATCTCATGAAGCTGTAAGATACAGAATCTGCAGCTTGCTCATCAAGACCTTCTTGTTCTGATCCTAAATGAACAACAAAGAATATTCTATGATGACATTGAATGCATCTGTGGCTTTTTCTTCAAGATGTCACCCCTTGTGATGATGGCATCGACAAACATCAGCTTGATACACACTCAATGTAGCCTCTTTATTATCACAACATCCTTATGTGAGAGTAGCGGGCGAGCTCGCAAATGAATCCGTATGTTTTTGACTCTGACGTAGCGTGACATATGGACGTGACGTATCGTAACAAAACGTGAGATAGTCACGGGTCTTGTCGCACTTTGCATACTGGAGGCCCGAAAGTTTGCATATTTCAGGCTCATTTTAGAAGATTTTTGCGACACTCCTATATAGGAGTTGCCCGGGTCCTCTCCGCCAGCGAGGAGCTCGGCCTGCAACTGTATACATGGGAGCAGGAGTGCTAACTACCTCGTGCATGGCACCATTTTCGGCGATGCGCCAACCAGAAAGAAGCTCTAACTTGTCCGCGGAGAGTGTCAACTTCGCGACCGGATACATATCCAACTGTAGCGTTTCCCCAAGTTCTGACACCGGCAGTGCCTTTCCTGTTGTGAGTGATTTTACTGATGTATGTTCGATTGGCAGGACAACGGCACTAGTAGCCTCCGTCACAGGTATATCACTTACGACATCTTTTCTCATAGCAGGGCATCTCAACGTGTCCGACCCACACCACAAGAAGGCTACTCAGCACATGTACATATCATGGTTATGATGAATGAAACGAGCTACTGTTCCAAGAGCATCAGGCCTCAGGCCTCAGCTGAGGGAGATTGGGTGGTCCTCCGGGCGACGGTCCTCAACGTTCTCAAAGTTCAACCTTTACGATGGCAATCTCCGCCGAGTTTGGAATAGAACTGAGAGCATCTGTCAACTCACTCTTAGACTCTGTGCTTCGCTGCCAAATCTGCCGAGATACCAATGGAATGGCTCCCGCGCCCTTGTGGTGCCATTACCTGAGCCATGCGGCTGAAGTCCGGTTAAGGCTCGAGAGCGCCGTACTTCCACATATGTATAGGAAGATTCAGGTCCTCAAGAAGCGCTCTCCTGCTCTCTCGCTTCCCCGACTGCAGATTGTAGCAATATTGTCGACCATGATATCGTACACCGCGATTGACGACATCCCCAAGGTACGCATGGATGCCATGTCTGGGCTCCTTTGTCGCTTTATTGACCTGTGCTTCTCAGATTCATCAGGGTTTGAAGGCCGCCTTCGCGACTGGCAAATCCAAGCCAATAGCCTTTCGCAAGAAGCAGCTGTTGCGGCTCTTGCATCTCGTTGACGATAACATATCGCGCTTCCGTGAGGCTCTCCTCTCGGACCTGGGCAGGCCGCACGCCGAGTCTAACAAGTGAATACATGTGATCCGTTTTTCTTTTGCTCTCGATTCACATCTGGCCTCTCAGCATGGAGATATATCCTACCATGGCCGAGATCAAGGAAGCATACGACAGCGTCGAGAAGTGGGCTGCCACCGAGAAGGCTCCCTTCAATGCGAACTGGTTTGCCATGTCGCCCGCGACTAGGAAGGAACCAAAGGGCGTGGTCCTCATTATCAGCCCCTACAACTTTCCTATGTCGTTACTTATACCTCCACTCGTGAGTTATGCCTGAATGGCCGGCACGCACCGTTGACCTAGAGTATCTAGGCTGCCGCCATAGCGGCTGGCAACGCTGTCATGGTCAAGCCTTCCGAGCTATCACCTGCCAACGCGGCTCTGTTGGCGGAGCTCTTACCAAAGTATCTCGATCCCGACTTATACCATATCGTAAATGGCGGTGTTCCCGAAGCCACAAAGGCAGGCATCTTGATTTGCTTGCTATATGCCAGCCCTGACGAAGAGCCAGATTCTCGAACTTCCTTTCGATCATAGTGAGCCACAGCAGTCCTTTGAGCCTTTGTATGTAGTCACATTAGGAATGATGACGATGCATAGTTCTGTATACCGGTACGTTATGCCTTTTGATTTCTGGAGTTTCCGTTGACAATCGCGCCTTAGGAAATGGCAACGTTGCAAAGGTGGTCTGTGCCGCCGCAGCGAAACACCTGACTCCGGTGACTCTTGAGGTGAGGTTGTATGTTATTTGCCGAAGGCGTCCATAACCAATACGTGCACCTTTGCAGCTTGGAGGTACGTCCGCTCTCCTGCACACGAGGAACGATAGTCTAAAATATGCTAATGCGTGTTGCTTAAAGGCAAGAACCCATGTGTTATCGACCCGAAGTGCAATCTTAAAGGCGCAGCGAAGCGGTTAATGTGGGGAAAGCTCACTAATGGTGGACAGGTATGTTAAGGTGCCATTTCTTATAGCTTTTGTAAACGGAATATCGTGACAGATATGCATGGCTCCGGACTACGTCCTGGTACCAGAATGGTTTCAGGACCAGTTTGTGAGTGCACTCGAGGAAGCGTGCGTCCCAATAAGCTAAGCAATGTGTGTTTGTGTGTGCTGACTGATGCTCGGTTTTCACAGATACCGTGAAATGCACCCCGAAGACCCGAAAACTTCAGGACAGATGGCACGCATGGTCAACCAGCGCCATGCTGAACGCGTCAAGCGACTCATCGACAACACGAAGGGCACGATCGTTTTTGGAGGGGAGGTTGACCTCGTGACCAAGTACGCTGCCCCAACTGTGATCAAGGATGTGCAACGGGACGATTCTCTCATGAGCGAGTGTGTGACGATTTTATTCAGCATTCTACCAGTTGGAAGGCTGCTGATTGCCATTCACATATCTAGAGAAATATTTGGTCCATTTTTGCCTATCATTCCTGTGAAGGACGTAGATGAGGCGATCAAGTTCATCAATGCCAGGTGAAATGGTCGGCGTACATCTCAAGTCCCCGTTCCTTACGTTCTTTCAGGCCCCAAGCACTCAACCTTTATGTGTTTACGAATGACCCAGCCTTCAAAGCGAAAGGTTTGCGTGTCCTGCGTGCATGCGATGTGGTCTTCATTGCTTGATACTATGAAACGTCCAGTGTTTGACAACACCCAGAGCGGATGCGCCATTGCGAATGAAACAATTTTGCATTTCTCCGGTACGTAAAGCATTTCACATCGCATGACGGTCTTTAACAACTGTTGTAGCTCACGGATTACCATTCGGCGGCGTTGGCGCAAGCGGCTGTGAGTACCGATAACGATGATATGTCCGTTTCACGAAACTTTGGGTCCGCTGAGCATTATTTGCATATAGACGGATACACTACAGGCAAGTGCGCGTTCGACACATTCACACATCTTCGCGCCACGATGGACAGTCCGTATTGGTAAGTATCATCCCTCTGTTTATCCGCTTTCCGGAGGGTATGCATTCGTGCTCACGATGTCTGTATCTCAGGCTTGATACGGTGCTTCTTAAAGCTCGCTATCCACCCTATACTGTGAGTATCATTCACGTGCACTGCGAATCCTCGAGGCGGACGCTCTAAAATGCAAAACAGGAGAATCGTATGAAAACGATGAAATCGATCATGAAACCGACCGTGCCTCGGGAGGATGAAGGTGGGCTCGGCAAAGGGGTCATCTATGGCTGCGTGCTTGCATTAGTCGCTCTCGCATCTGCAATGCTGGTACAGTCACGCTAATGAGGCTGCACCATCGCGAGGTATCGTATGACCAGCACAAGTCTGATCGGCTCTGGTTGGATACCAGTACGGGCTGTAGTTTTTCTATATATTGGGCATTATCGTATGGGTGATTAGCTGGATGGTCGGGCGCTGGCGAGCACGTTTTTGCAAGTATGTGATCATTGCTTTTGGTTTTAGCATTATTGCCCTAACCGTGTCATCGAGCGTCATCGGCATTGTTGAGGTAAACATCCGCTGGGGGAGGAGCGCTGCATGGGTTCTTGATCGCTAGGCAGGCTTCGCTATGATCATCGTTCAAGGACTGTCATCGTTCTAGTGAGCACTATCCCTTATTTGTCCCATTCAAAGCTTGAAATCTACTCCATCTGTTGGCAATGCAATGCGCAGAATGATCCGCCGGCACATGAAATGCCAAGCTAAGAATCATGAGATGATACCGAGACCGCTACGCCTGGGCATATGCTCGCCTTCCAGAACGCCTGAAATGTGTCACTATTGAGTCATGATCATCAATAATATGATGAATCCGGTCGGAGGAAGACCGTACGAGAAGATTTCTGTAGTCTTCGCGTGATGAACGCTGATATTTGTACGTTCTTTTCATGTCTCCATCTATCACATTGAGCCGCTATCTGTGATTTTTCAATCGCTCGCTCGTTCAAACTGTTGTCCGCATGCATGATCGATTGTGTCTGTCACTTAGAGTGATACATTGCACCGAAAATAACAAGCATGCCCAAAAAGAGCCTGAGAATTACGGCACAGGTAAAGTCATCCGTCAGCACAATTCTCCGGAGCTGACTCGCACAGTGAAAGCGGTGCATATCGTAGAGTATACCGCTATTACATGGGCGTAGCTCATCGGACGCGCCGTTGATATCTCTTGACAGGTTAGGAACACAATTTCAACTAGCTGGATTACTTCTCATTTGATCTGGACTACCGTTGTCAGGAAGTACTGCGCAGAATATGGACCCGCGTGATCTTCGTGCAATATCGCTCCATTGTCAAGGGTATGAGGATCCCTGATAAGAATACCGTACGCTCCTCATAGCAACGAAGGGCCGTTGAGTTGACAACACCATTACCGGGGCCTGATGCTCGATACGGTGACAGAATCCGATGCCACGCTAGAAACGGCTTTTCCAGTAATCGCCGAGTCGAAGATTCGGTTGATCGTGATATATGGGCTGCTCTCAATCAAGTACAGTTCGTGCTCCGACTCGTAGGCACACGATTAGGCTAACGAACAATACTGATTCAACCATTCAAATTCAGTCAGCATTGACCGGAAAATGTTCATTTGTTTATGCGACATGCCATACATGAGAATTGCACCACTCTGCGGTTTGACTGCCATCTTCAGCAGTGATAGAGTTTGGGCTCTTCTGCCGTTCGGCTGTGCTCTTCGGGCGGCTTTGAGGTTTGACATGCGACTTTCTCCCGTTCGCTTTGGCATGCTGACTGATCATCGCTATCCGAACTAGTACTTATTGTGCAGGGTTTTGAAGCTGAAAAGTGCGGCGACTCTGCGTGCTCGTCAAGCTTGCGTACAATGACCGGAGTGAACCTTAACCTGGGGCCCACTATCGGCTACTACTTCGTTGGAATTATCATTTCGGTCGCGTGAGTCTCCCGCGTAGAGGGCGTCGGAGTGCCCATTTGGCTGATAATCGTTCGCCTACGCACCAGACTATATGGCTGCACTTGCGCGCAAGTCCTCTGGTACTATAGGCAGTATCCGTTTGACGTTCGTCGTATGAAAGTGATGGTAAGCAGTCTATCATTTGTACGTGAAGCTGGCCTCAAAACGACGGTCAGGTCGCTATCCTCTGGTGTGTGCACTGTGTAACGTGGAGCATCTTGTGAATGATGTCTAATCAGTCTTGGTATAGGGCTCTCGACACCGCAAGTGTCGTGACGAGTCTACAGGTACTAAGCTGTATGTGTCATTGCCAAGATGAACTTGCTTATGTTAGTGCTCTAGTTCATCTGGGTGTATCTGGTAAACAACCATGCATATCCAAGCGCTCTGTTGGCTCTCCCAAGGTAAGATTGCATTGTTGGAATCTGTATTATAACGTTCTGATGGGCAAATAATCACTGACAGCGTCTACCTGGTTCTATATCTCACCTTATCTGAAGATTCGCCATTGGCTGACATATCGGAACATTTTCAAGGTTCATTATGTGTTATCAGTATGCGTCGAAATCCTCTTCCTCAGACTTTGGAATTAATAGACAATGATCAGGGCGTCACCACAATCGTTGTGCAATGGTGTGTGTTATGCGACCTCCGCCAGATGCTTAGCTCACACATACATGCGGTTTGATCAAGCTACTATATAAACAAAGTGTTCCAGCGTTCGTGGCTTTTGATCAGGTCATGCCGCTGCTAGCTAAACCTGATTGCTTCCAGTGCTCAAAAGGAAGTGGTACCGATGGCCAATCACCGTCATCATGGTAAGCACGTATTCATGCATGACACTGCTTTTATTCGTCAGTTAATCTTTAGATAAGCTTGCCACGGCATGGATGTCTTTCGGTACGTCTTTACACGAATGTTCATGATTGAATCGGCTAAATTCTGTCCATCAGGAGGGACGGTCGGTAAGAACTTTAATAAATAGGCTTGGATTTCTTTCAGTGATTAATCGCAAACATGAATAAGCGAGCGTTGGTCTGGCGTGAGTGTATAACATTTCGGATATGCGATGTCCAACGCAATTAACCATGAAATAGAGTACCTATCCTCAGCAATGTGAATGCAGTGTTTACCGTTTCAGGCAAAGTAAGCTTACATTGTCTTCCGCAACTGGGCCTCTCAAATTATCGCTCGCAGGTTGGCGGTACATTGCAGACAGTCGGGGCATGCATAACAGATATTATGATCACAGTCGTGCTTTGTACGGTCTTGACTGCTCAAAACACGGGTTTCAGGCAGTAAGTCTAACTCGATCTGGGCAGGCGTCTCGGAAATTTTGACATGCTTTCCATAGCACCAAGAATTTGATCTCGAAACTGACTTTCTACCTGTTGAACCGCGGAATATTGACTGCGTCAGTATTTTCTTGATATTGTCATAATGTATCTCAAAGTATCTTTAGAGCCTGCCAATTCTTCTTTTTTGTCTTGGTACGCCAATGAATCTTCTCTCACTTATTCCTGAGGCTGATACTCGTCCGAACATTCTAGTGGCACATATTTGACAAGAAGAACGAATATGTATGGACGCTATTTTCCTTTCCAGGTAGTCAAGGTGGGATGGCTGGTTGTGAAAACGGAATGGTATTTCACTCATAGCGTGATGGTTTCAATCTATAGTCTACGTGAACTCCATGCTAGCGATGTAAGTGGGATTTGATGCATTGACAATCAAGCTTGGCCGCCTTACCATCCATCTGTGTCGCCATTTCTAGCCTGAATGCGCGTCTATTTTTTGACCCGCCCAAGAATCAAGCCTCAATTCAGGAGATTCCGATGCATTACATGAGCGGCTTAGCAGGGGCAGCGTCTTCAAGGTGAGCAACCCCAGAACTTATATCATATCAAATCTCTGAACTGACCACGTTGAAATCACGCAGCCGACCCACCATCAGCATCGGTAGGAGTTCCCCTTCGTTATAAGCAGGAGTCACTCGCGAAAGCACAGTGAGGAAATAGCAATTATGGGGTCAGCTATCACCTTGTCGGTTTGATGTATTTCGAGTGTCCCACAGGAGAACGGCGAGAGGGTTCCGACTTCTGAAGCGACACGATATTATAGGCGATCACCTTCATGTACTAGGTGTGATATTCCTCCTAATTTTCCAACGTGACGCATGGACGACAGCCCGTTATGCTGAACGTGAATGTTTACATGTGTTGAATCAATGGAGACTTTTCTAACGACGAAGTTCGCCGAACATAATGAACCGCCGTTTGCAATCGATCTCACCCGGCCACCGCCCAGCACAATGTGAGATCCATAACATGTTCGCATCTCGCCCTTCACCCCCCTTCTTTCCACCTGCTAACTACAGTCTACGACCCCGTTACTACATCTGATTCTTCTCAGCGAAATGCATAAGAATCGCCTAATTGCGCATCACGCAGTCTCCCTGCTCGGTTCGCTTCAGCAGCAGTAGCTGAAAGGCGCAGAAAGGCTCCTGCCATCAGCGTCGCATATTTTGTGAGTCGACAATATCGTACAGATCCACGGTGATAGTGGTCGATTCATTCCCTAATGAAGACAGGACACCTGTCGCTGGTACGATAGTATGGAAATTTCGGAACATAGTACGTTATTGTGATCTCCTTCCTAGACCTTCCGCCCAACCCTCCACGGAGGCAGCCGATCAAAGATCACCTCCTTCATCGTGAGAGTGTGAGCAACTCACCCGTCTCATCCTATTCGTCCTCGTTGACTTTATATTCCACTTTAGCGAGGAGCGCTTAACTAGTAACCTCGCTCCCAATACAATGCCATCGCATCGTCGATCCCCGGCACACCGCGCATCGCGTCAACGCCCAAAGGTGAGTAGCCGGACAGCTTCACCGATGCACACCACACTCCAAGTATGTCGCGCAATCGAGACTTGGAGCCCCGGACTTTGAAGTAGGCTCGCAAGAAAGATTGTCCAAGAAGCGGCAAAGGCGGAATAGCAAGCCCAGCACACTGCTCGAATGAGCTGGGATCCGCGTCGTCGAATGTCCCGGCAGCTGCGGAGTAGTTCTGTATGAGGATCTTCACTCGGGACTTCCGGTGGCGTAGATCGCCAACTATTTCATGCGTAATGAATAGGATGATTTTTTATAGAGAGACTTTGACGTACCGACTCGATGAGCCGGACACCCAAGCTCTTCCCAATGGATGTTCGGATCAGAAGAAGTGACCATTGGAAGAAGAACAGGCGGGCTGTCCTCGTAGCCAGCAGCCAACAAGGCTTCATAGGCAGCTTCGAGTTGGTCATCAGGGACAAGTAAATGCATGTGCTGCGTTTATTTCGTGTTGGACCGCTGGAATGGTATTACAAGACGTACTACGACTCACATTATCGCAAATCGGAACGCCGTAGTACTGCATCGCCCATTCTCCCCATAGGATGATCGGACCAATGCCAGGTGACTGAGCGAGCACGCTGGTTAACTTTGCGGAGACGTCCTCGCGAAGCTCGTCGTAGAAAATGTCTCCAACGGTTTGGGTAGGCGTTAATAGTTTCGTCGAATGACCCATTGTGCGAATGAAATGCGTTCAGCTTTAGGTCTGAATGCGCACTACGCAGTGTTGTATTGGAAGTAGTGTCACTTCCGAGTCAGTGAGCTTGCCATGGTGGCGCCGAGCCAAACCCTACTTTAGGTTCTGAAACATGCCGTCAATGTCCTAGTACAATTTTCTCTTCTTCCGAAGGTGATGATTAGTACACGACGCGGCTAAATCACCATTTGCTGCGATCGCCATCAATTTAGCCAGCCGCCATGGCATGAGGCCTGAGGCCTGAGGCCTCTTGAGCTTGAAGCTTGAGGCCTTGAAAGCTCAGCTCGCCAATTGGTTTTGGGCATTTCTCCGCACTGGTACAGCACCAGTCCTAGTGTGCTAGCATACCGCCGCATGCGTCGGCGGTAGACGGCCACCGAGCTCTTTCGCCGCGTGCATGGTGCGGTATAGCCTAATCGTTAGTAGCCTGACACGATGCACAAAATTCCGCGGCAGGTAATCGCCTGGGTGACTTGAAGCCGTTTTTGCTCTAGTAAGGTCGAATTCTCGTCTACTATTCCTACTGTTTTCAGCTCTCACGCACGCACCAATCTAGCTCCGTCTATCCCTCGAAACATTTTCTCTTCCAAATAGTAAGTCGAATTCCCCGCTTTCATGCATGTCAGCTGTTTCATGCATGTCAGCTGTGTTTGTCTTTATTCTATGTAGTTTCACCCCCTGATCTTTTATTGAGCTCGAATAGCCGATCAGAAATCGGAAAACGCCGCAAGAGCGGCGGGAATGTCTCGAGACCATTGACTAATATAACGACGTTGACAGTGAGCAGTCTCTGTCCATCAGCACATGATTGTCGTCGGCCATGAGGTTCACGTCGAAAACGTTTATGACAATGCAAAGTTGAACAGAGTCTGCCTCCACTATACCAGTAGGTGCTCTGTTCGTAACGTATTCCTCCCAATGGAAACCTCAGCTCTTTGTGCAGGTCTTCGTCGATTACCTTCGCCTGCAAGGTTCGGCAAAGAGAAGTCAAATGATCTCTACAGATTCAATGACAAGACTTCGCAGCATGTCAATGCATGTCACTGTGCCGTTCTCCGACAGCATTGAATGGGATTCTGATTCCATTCTCTGCACATACATGTTTCCAGCGGGCCTCGTGCAATTCATCAAACAGAGACACGTTGTCTCAATGAATGTTGGCACTTCGCGAGCCGCTCTCTGCCGATCAATGCATGCTGATCCATCAACGCCTTTCGGACCCTGAAAAATCAGCTGACAACGGAGAGGTTCAAGGCCTCTCCTATACGAGGTGTTGGGCTTGCTTCCATTCCTTTTCTTGTATTTCTCAATGACAGATTCATGGAAGATTTACAGCGTGCACTCGGGGCAGTACTGCAGCTCCAGGTTTGAGCTATTGTCCGTCTAGGAGTTGACAGTGCTTGACACCACCAGGTCTTGGAAGCGTCGCATCTTTCCATCGTGATGTGAATGTCAGGGATATCAAGTATGGATGGAAGTGTCGGGCTTCGAAGTTCAACATTGCTGGCATCCCGGGCCCATGTACTTTTGTACGCCCTTACATGCTTATAAGCCTCTGATGCGTAAATATGACTCTGCACGTCAGCCGGCAGCCTCAACTTTCGAGTCAGCTTATCTGCGACGATCAAGCTGCTTTCTTCTCGTCCACTCATCAATAGTCTTCGGTCAGTGTGTCTCTCTCACCCTCTTCACCCAATGATGTTGACCACCATTTCACTTAGACCATGTCCGATAATCCCGCACTCGAAGCTTGTGCGATCCTCACGCCCGTGTTAGACAGCCTTGGAGTCAGATATGCTCTGATGGGCGGCGCTGCCTGCGCTGCTTTGGGTTCTGGACGCGCCACAAGAGACATCGATCTATGCATCGTCGCCAACTCTCAGTATGATGCCGACACACTGTCTAGACGCCTGAGGAGTCTTCCCCAGTTCACCGAGGTCGACGAGGACAACGTCGGTGTCCTCACTCCCGCCATCCAGCTTTCCGATAACACTGTCGTCCCCATCGAGATCTTCGACTCAAGCGCATGGCCGGAGCGACCACAGTACCAATACGTCGAAAGCGAGTCCGTCCAACGTGTGCTTTCCAATGGCACCACCGTCTCTTTGTTCTCCGCGCCCTGGCAGCTTCGCGAGAAGATCGCAGCCGCCCAGCAGCGAGGACAACCCGGAAGCCTCAAAGGAACGACGGATATTTCAGATATCAGATTCCTCTGCTCGATCATCCCATCAGATCAGCGTCAGCAGGGCCTGCTTGAATTAGCTGACCCGGAATACATCCGCGCGTTCGAGGGCTTCCTGCAGCGTCCTGACGTAGACGATGGTCTTCGCCAAGAACTCTCTCAGATCATCTCTGTCGCAAACATCGAGTTGCTTCCAGGACCAAGTGGGACGGGCCAAGGCGGGAGTGGTGGAAGCTCTGATGGTGGAGGGGGATATACTCACGACGAGCTTTGATCATGTTCCGCCCATTCATTCATTCCTTACGGAAGCGATGAATCAGCGGTGCGAGGCGACGATAGCGAGGGCGAGGCTGAAGGGAGACCGAACGGTAAGGTTGCTGCATGCTTTTGTTTCTTGTTGGTTTTATTCTTCTTTTTTTGCCATACGATGATGTACTATACCTCCGACCCCAGCACTGTTCGAGTCGAGTGGAACGGCGCGGGAACGAATGACATACATATTGCAGGTCCTATGTGGACGATCACGCGTCGGAGAGCGGCAGACTGCGCTCATAAAATGCCATCTCCAGCGAGGCCCGAGCCAGTGCCATCCGAACCAGACATTAATAAAAAATATGGGGAAGACGTGAATACGTCGTCCGTTTCCCAGTGTACTTTTAACGATATACCTTGTAAGACCGTATATGAGCAGCTCTAGCACGCTGTTTCCATTCATTCACCTGATGCCTCAGCGACGGCTGTCCTGAACGAGCCGTAGACATAATGATGCGCACCTATTGACACTTTTCCAGAGACGAGTCGGTAGGGACCTGACAGGTCCGCCCTTGTCGATGCTTCTGCGGCTCAGATAAAACTTTCAGCACATTTCTCAACAAATGTCATCCCTCGGCGTTTCGACTGCTTATGTCCGCTGCTGTGCTCTCGCCTGCATCCTCGCTGCTCTCTGCATAGCGGCCGCGGCTCATTCAATGCGCCTCCGTCTACGCCGCTGTCGGAAAGTGCGAACAACAGCGGGCGTAATCCAGTCTCACGCCTGCCGACGAGAAGGAGCGCTGGGAAGCCGTGTACAGCGCAATACACGCACCCTCTCTTAAATTCTTGCGGGTGGGCTACTGTCTGGAGCATTGCTCGTGTGTCGATGAGACATGATGCTCCTGGAGACGCGGGGCTTTCCCTTGACAACTTGCTCAATATTCTACAAGACTACACTCGTTATCCCTCCCCTATCACGTAGGCGGAGCAAACATGGCTATTGACATTTCAGAGCACGTTGCTTACCTGCCAGAGTATCCCTGAGAGGCCCGGCGAAAAGAGCCGAAACGCATGCCATCTCAAGAAGACCGAGGTTTGTAAGACGGGGAGAAATGTTCGATCCTCAGAAGATTACGCACCACGCGCATGTCCAGCTGCTCTTCTCGGCAGCGTCCTCTGCCTCGCTGACCCATAGTGCGAGTCGCGCTCTCCGTCCAAAGTCGTGTCTGCTTTCTCGCTCGCAACGCCCGTCGCATACGTCCTCTGCACGGATGCAGCACAGATCCCACAAACAGGGTAGGACTTTGTTACTGTCTACTGTTCTGCTTAATTGCATGCGCCTTGGATTTCGGTTACCACGTGAACGTGAGGTGCATGGAGGATTCGTGCACCACCAGCCACGCATACTTTATGAGTCGACAACGTAGACCAGATTCACGATGATGATGGTGGTCGGCTCATTCCCTGGCAAAAACGGGACATCTATTGATGGTGCGATGGGATGAACATCTCAGAAGCTCTGGGGTCATGGTCTCTTTCCTAGACCTTCCAACTAGCTTTTGATGGAAGCAGCCGATCAGAGTCACCTTCCTTGCTGTGAGAGCGTGAGCACCTCATCCATCCCATCCTGTCCGACCTCGTTAATCTTATATTCTATTTCAGCGAGCAGCGCTTACCTAGTAACCTCGCTCCCAATACAATGCCATCGCATCGTCAATCCCCGGCACACCGCGCATCGCGTCAACGCCCAAAGGCGAGTAGCCGCATTCCTTCACCGATGCGATCCACACTCTAAGCATGTCGCACAATCTAGAGTGGGAGCCCCGGACTTGAAAGTAGGCTCGCAAGAAAGATTCTGCAAGAAGCGGCAAAGGCGGAATAGCAAGCCCAGCACACTGCTCGAATGAGCTGGGATCCGCGTCGTCGAATGTCCCGGCAGCTGCGGAGTAGTCCTGTATGAGGATCTTCACTCGGGACTTCCGGTGGCGTAGATCGCCAACTATTTCATGCGTAATGAATAGGATGATTTTTTATAGAGAGACTTTGACGTACCGACTTGATGAGCCGGACACCCAAGCTCTTCCCAATGGATGTTCGGATCAGAAGAAGTGACCATTGGAAGAAGAACAGGCGGGCTGTCCTCGTAGCCAGCAGCCAACAAGGCTTCATAGGCAGCTTCGAGTTGGTCATCAGGGACAAGTAAATGCATGTGCTGCGTTTATTTGCGTTGGACCGCTGGAATGGTACTATCAGAATACTACGACTCACATGTTCGCAAATCGGAACGCCGTAGTACAGCAACGCCCATTCTCCCCATAGGATGATCGGACCAATGCCAGACTGAGCGAGCACGCTGGTTAACTTTGCGGAGACGTTCTGGCGAAGCTCGTCGTGGAAAATGTCTCCAACGGTTTGAGTAGGCGTGAGTAATTTCGTCGAGTGGCCCATTGTGTGATACGAAAGCTTACGAAAGGCGTTAAGCTTTAGACCTCTATATGCGTGCCAGTGGGTAAGGTGTAAGAATTTGTTGATATTCTCCTGCTGCCTAATAAGGCAATTTGGTTCAAATTAAATGGGGTTGCTTATGTATGTGTCCTATGCTAAGTTCAGGATCAATTTCTACTCGACACCTTCTCTAGATACACCAAGCGTGTCCTCACAGTCACAGCGGTGAGAATAGTACTGAGTCCACATCGCAAAGATCTACTCAACTACAGTGCCTTTCACAAACGCAAGGCGAGACCGTCGGGTCCTTCAAGGCATCACGATCAGCCACACCAGGCGCACACTCGTCCATCCAGCCGCCGCTGAATCCGCAGTGTACTGTCGCGCAAGAAAGTTCAGGAGGTAGGCTCTGACGATCTGATAGGAGATGGTTGAGCTCCTGAGCGGAACGGGGCGCGGGGGCCCAGTTCAATAAATGTACGCGGCTTCGACGAGCTCAGAGACTTGGCCGAGAAATCAAAAGACGATATTACCCATATATGCCGTGACCGCTAGCGCTCAGTCATCGGCTTCGAATCATATGCAAGTCGTATGTCTCGAGGCGGCTGATGGGCATGTGGCGGGCGTTCTCGTTTCGTCATTATATCTAGGGTCGGGCTGGTTGTAGTACGTTGCTCATCACCATCAAGAGGCTAAGGAAAGTATGATGCGAGTGTTCCTGGAGGACGCCGGGTTCACAAGAGCGTTGCGTAGAATATAGCGGGCGATATTGTGTTGTGGATACGAACAATGGGATATGCCCTCCCTTGACGGCGCAGGCTCGTCTCATGCCAGCGCAGACCTTGTAATGCAACTT